TTGCAATACAGCTTCTCCAGTGATGTTTCCTATAAGCCAGCCATCAAAGTAGACGTAGTTGGGGGAATTATTGTATATAGTGAACCCAAGTCCTATCCAGAGGTAAACTTCACCTTACAAGGTCCCTGGAAAGTGGCGATTGGAGTTCATCCCAAGCATTATGATACCCTCACCGTCGAAAAAACGATGAAGATGCAACAACTCCTAGATCATCCTAAAGTAGTGGCATTGGGGGAATGCGGCCTGGACAGAACTATTGCTCCTTCCCAGTGGTGTAGACAAGAAGAAGTGTTTGTTAGGCTTCTGAAGTTATTAAAAGCCGAGCAGCCCCTTGTTCTCCACCTCAGAGGACCAAGAGGAGACACTTATTCCTCAGATGTTCATGGCCGTTGCCTCATGTTAATGGAGGATATCTGTGACCCAGAACAGAAAATCCATGTACACTGCTTCATGGGAAGAGCTGACGTGGTGAGGACTTGGTTGCGGAAATTTCCAAACACATACTTTGGAGTGACAGCTGCCGTCCGAGCCTTTGACCATGAACAGCTGGAAGGGTTACAGGCTATCCCTCATAATAAGCTGCTCCTGGAGACCGATGCGCCCTACTTTCCTTTAGGAGGTGCCATCGTGAGTACTCCAGCTTATTTGGGAGAAGTAGCAGCTTATTTATCCGTCCATTTGAACATGCGCCCCCCAGAGCTGATGAGAACAACCGTCGTGAACGCACGGAAGCTCTACGGATGTTAAAACAGAGAAGACTGGTGACCAAGTGCATGCCGCTTTCTTAGTGTGCTGAAGATATCTAATATTAATTTTAAAGATGCCTTCATGCCGCTATAAAGTGTGCTGACAGTGATACATTCAGTCTCCATTGCATCAAATTCCTCGAACGGCTCCAGATGTGATGATGTCTTTTGTGTTCTACTTTATCATCGCTGGATGTTATTATGTGTTATGTGTTCCATATTCTGCTTCTCGACGCTGGATGTGATACGCTATTTTATATTCTTATATGGCCATGTTAACAGTAATTCAGTTTTTGTTGTTTGTATAATTGTTTTAAAAATTTTTGGCCATTATATATCCAATAGGTTTTGTTATAAAGTAATATTTTGTATATTAAATTAATATTGAAAATTTAAATAACTCAAATACAGAACATTCCAATTGGAACGGGGAGGAGTGTTGTAAAGAAGAATTAACTTACTTAAGGACTTTCCCGATTCTAAAATTAGATAAACAGAGACTCTCTTCCCGCCAGCCCGTGCAGAACTTTGCTTATTGTATTGTTATATATTTGTACTTGCTTGCTTATAGTGTAATTACAGAATACATTCTAAAGTAAGTAAAAGTGTATTTTTTCTATAAAAGATTAAGTTCTGACGTACTCCATGTGTAATGTTTGTGTAATTGAAATACATACGACCAACATATACCACATGGAAAATTTAACCCGCATTTAAAACCATACTGGAAAAAATCCGAGCTAAACAACGCCCATTATGAAATGAGATGTTCTAGAAGGACTTGGAAATCTATGGGATCTCCTAGAGATAAACAAATTGAATATTATGAAAACTATAAAAAGTCAAAACGTAAATTCAGAAAACTACACAGACTTGCACAAAAAGATTGGCACAATTCAATATTTGACGAAATTGACAAAGCTGCTGAAATTGACATAGGAACCTTCTATAGGACAGCATGGAAAAATAAAAAACGATCAGGTTCATCTTTTCCATCCAAACTTAGTTATAAAGGAAAAACCGCTGAGAACATTAATGACATGTGTAATTTATGGCAAGAATATTATTCTGACCTTGCTAATGAAGAGTACCATCCAGAAAAATTTGATGAAAATTTAAAACACTTTATAGATGAAGCTGTGCAGAACATCGACAATGATCTACAGAACAACGAGAACTTATTCACGGACGGAGTCGTAATATCCATCGAAGAAGTCAAATGCCAAATTGATCAGCTTACCAAAGGGAAAGCTCCTGGACCAGATTTTCTCACCAACGAACACCTCATATTCAGTGGTCATTTTGTAGCAGAACAACTGTGCTTACTTTTTAATGCTATAATTAGAGAAAAATACGTCCCTGAAATTTTTAAAGTAGGAAAAATTATATCTATCTATAAAGGTAAAAACAAAGATAAAAGTATTCCTACCAATTACAGAGGTATTACATTGACATCTGTAGTAAGTAAATTATTCGAAAAAATACTTTTGTCAAAAATTGAGAATGATTTAGTTAGAAGTGGCAAATCATTTCCACATGATTTACAGTTTGGGTTTAGAAATGATTACGGAGCAATTCCAGCTTGTTATGTTCTAAAAGAAGCTATTAGTTACTATGTAGATAGAGATTCTCCAGTTTTCTGTGCATTTTTAGACAATGAAAAAGCCTTTGACAGAATCTGGCACAATGGTTTGTTATTTAAGTTGTATAATCTTGGATTAGATCCCAGATTTTGGCAAATTTTAAAATACTGGTATAATGACAGCAAGTGTTTTGTTTCATTTTGTGGTGTAAACTCCAATTTGTTTAAAATCTCACAAGGTGAAGGACAAGGAAGAGTACTTAGTGCTTTTATGTTTCTTGTGTATATTAATGATTTATTATATGAGCTATGCAAAAATGGCAAAGGCCTTTTACTGGGTGATTTACACATTCCAGGTATTCTATTAGCAGATGATACTGCTTTAATGAGCAATTCACCAACATCATTACAGTGTTTACTTAACCTTGTAGAAAACTATGCATTTACCTGGAGACTCCATTATAATCCAAGTAAAAGTGTTTTTATTGTATTTAGAAAAACCAAAAAATGTTACATATCTTGTAGTGCTACGCTTTTGGCAGTGAAATACCTCCGTCTGAAAGTACAGTATATGCTGGTTGTCTTCTCCAGGCAAATATGAAAAGTGACAAACTTACAGAACGAGTGTGTAAAACTGCGAGATCAAAAATCCACTCTTTATATTCTATTGGTGTTAATAACTCTGACATTCATCCCGTTGTATCCGCAAAAATATGGAAACGGGTCGTGCTACCGTCTGCCCTCTACTCTTGCGAGATATGGCCGTTACTACCACTAACAGACATGCAACAACTTGAATATGTTCAAAGACACTTCGCCAGGATTATTCAAGGATTCTCAAAGTTTTCTCCATCGCTTTCAAGCATATCGAATATTGGACTCTGGACCATACAGGGCTACATTGATAAATGTCGCCTACTTTTCTTTGGTAGACTCTTTAGGTCAGAACAAAACTCTGTACATTATCAGATCTATAAGTTTATTTCTGATATTCATGTATCTGAAAAATTTTTTGCAACCAAAAACATGTTACAAACGGCTAGCAAATACAATCTCTTAGATATGTTTGAAAACAATTGTAGCATTATATACAGTAAAAAAGAATTTTCAAGAATGATTATCAAAACAATATGGACAGCAGAGGAAAATCAATGGCGTGCTGCTCTGTCTGTAAATCCTGATATGTCTTTTTTCAGTAAAATACATACTATGTTGAACCCAAATAAATTGTGACAGATTGCTAGAGAAGATCCCTCAAAAAGATTATTAATCAATTTTTTTTATTCAGGTTTCATCGATGAAAATTGTTTGTAAATTTTGTCAATATTGCAATAAGGTAACAAGTAACTATAATATGCACTTGATGTTAAGTTGCTTTACACCATTAGACGACAGAGAAAATATGTTTGAGGACATTTTAGATATACTTGATGTAAATGAGTATGTTTTGTTTGAGGATCAAGATCCTGAACTACAGTTTTTATCTTTAATAGGGTGTGTTCAAGGCACATGTTTTGAAAACATATCATTCACAAAATGGAAATGCATAATGATAAAAGTTGCCTCAACAGTTTATAAAAACAAAAGTCTGTTTGCCATAGACTGTCGAAACCTGTAATGTCCTAGCAGAAATTGTACATATATATATATATATATATGTTTTCTTTTTTGCAATTTTTGTTGTTAATTAGTTAATTATCTGTTAATTCATACAAACTCTCCATTAATTTGGAGGAAATAAAGAATATCTTATCTTATCTTATCTTATCTTATAACAAACCTGTTAGCTCTTAAAATGATGCTGTGTTAAAATCCACATTTTATCAACATTAGTATTATTCCTGCGCAATTGAAATTTTCATAACGCATGGTAAAGTTGCAGAGGAAAAAAACTATTACAAATTTGTAACTGTGAGCAGTGAATTATATAAATGATCAACTGCCTCTAATATGAATATAATGACAGTGCCCATGTTTTGCAATGGGAAACCCAAAATATGTGTAGGATGAAAAATAATAGAAGAAGCACAACGGCAATATGTATTAAGAATTCTATGAAAATTTCGTTCATTGCTGTAAGTTAAGAGGAGTTGCAGATAAGAGATGGGTATACTTAAAGCGTAACAAACAGATGGACGGAAATCCCGATTAATAAATACCCTCGAACTCCCGCTTTTCAAGCAGGGGGTATAAAAAAAGGACTAATGTAGGCAGGCAAGCATTATGGCCCATGCATTGTTTTGCAATTCAATGTCTATGAATGTCCTTCGCAAGATGTCTGTATTTGAAATAATAATATTGTTCACTCACTTAACCTCCCGATCAAAGATTTTATTTTACACCATGTTCAACTCCCACGATTGCTTTCAGTACTTTGATTAAATCTGTTGTTAATTTAAAAAAAACTTTCAGGATCGGTTCGTGACGGGAAATATTCGCGATGATGAGGCTCTCGCGAAACTCGCGGAAATTTCTCACACGCGAATAAAGGTTTGTTTAGAGCATATAAATCATGTAGGATGAAAGTATTGGCCTTATTATATCCACAATTCACTATATTTTATCAGATCAGATTTGTTGAAAAAATATCTTTATTATTTTTTGTCTGAATCTAGTTTATTATCTTAAAAGGTCAAAGATGACTTAAATTATCAGAATTTTCATTTGTGCAGGTTCCTCAGTGCCCTGGCGGTCTTGGCAGAGCGTCCTGAACTCGTAGAAAACATCATTCTGACTAAGGACTACTGTCCACAAGGGGCCTACCAAATCCGCCTGTGTAAGGACGGGAAATGGCAGATTGTCCTGATTGACGACCTGTTACCTTGTGAGCACCACAAACGACTCGTCTTCTCTCAGGTCAGTGTAATTTATTGGAATTAAGTAATGGCTCTCTTAAACTAAACTCGCTTACTATTTTAATGATTTTAAAAACTAAGAATTTTATTTGAAGCATTATGATCATTTTTTACTATTGGTAATAATTTATATAGAAAGCATTCTTTGCAATGAGCAGTTTACCAGAATCGAATACAAGTTTGTCAGTGACTTATTCATCCTCTATTTTTTTTTCTATATGACCGCTGCTCTATTTCGTTAAAATTTAATGTATGTCCTTGTAGGCTAAGAGAAGACAACTGTGGGTGCCTCTGATAGAGAAGGCTATGGCTAAGTTACATGGCAGCTATGAGAGTCTAGTAGCAGGGAAGTGTATAGAGGGTCTGGCTACCTTAACAGGTGCCCCCTGTGACAACATAGAGCTTCAGCGTAAGCATCAAACGCGGAAAACAAATTTATTTAAGGTGTCCTTCTGAGAAGGGAGATAATTTCTAGAGTTATTTTTTCTATGAAATTCAATTAATTGTCTTGTCGAAACTTACAAATTTCATTTATGTGGACCATTATAGTGCTTACAATCAAATATATTATATCGAATAGATGTTGGTTTTTAGTTTCTATTGCTAATATTTTCTTTAATGGTTTAGCATAGTTCAACTAAAGCATCTATTCTCCGTTCCTTTAAACAGTTATTTCTATTTATTTGCTATTTCTATTTACCACATCAAATTTTCTTCACATCATGATAAGACATAGTATTCATTTCTTAAAAAGTAAGAAACGCTTTGAATTCATACTTCATACAGATTTAAAAAAATACTATTATTCCCATTGCTTTTTAAGACTGTAGATAGACTGAGTATAAATTTGAGATTTTTGTTCCAGCTGGACCACCGAAAAATCGAAGAGATCCTAAATTAATCTGGGCCAAACTTCTCAGCTGTAGGGAGTCAGGGTAGGTGTTATAACTTAATTTGGGCCAAATTTCTCAGCTGTAAGGAGTCTGGGTATGAAATCTATATGTTTTTTTTTTAATCTTTGAGATTATCATGATTATGATTGTTTATCTTAATTAAAAATAAAGGCTTTGTCCCTTACATACTCCCTGATACTCTTTCTTGGAAACTTTATTTTTCAAACCTATTCTGATAGGGGCTTTTAGAAACATCTAGACCGGATTTCTAAAAGATTTAAAATAGTTTTGTCCATGAAAACCTGAAGAATTTTTCTCAAGAATTATTGTAAAAACATGTAGATGAAGGATGCGGAGATAACAAGGAGTATTTAATATCCAAGCCCATTAAACAATACAAAATAGGAGCACAGCAGAGAGTTATGAGTTTGAGTATTTTTTTTTCACTTTGTAGAAATGTTTGTTTTTCTCTTAACATTGGTTATTTATATTAATGAACATGATTAATATAATATAAAAGCAATGTTTAGAAAAACAGTTTTTATAAATCGGATTAAATACATTTTTTTCCATTAAGAGCCATATATAAAAAACAAAAGGTAACTGATGTTATCCTGCCCAATAAATTTCATTTTGAAACACTGATCATTTAAATCATTTTAAGTATATGGAGACCAGAATGAAACAACATAAATCTAGGAAACGAAATGACTTGTTAACCCTGAAAATGGGTGTGATGAAACATATGGAGGTAACGAATAGTATTCAAGATCAAAAGTCCATAAAACAGGAGCAGAGCAAACACGGACCTCCGAAACATCAGAGGTGGGATTTGGTGCCATGGAGGAGTGAGTATCTCCTGCTGACCGGTAACACCCGCCGTGTGTTCCTTGTCATGATCGGGAAATAACAGAAAATCCGTCGTCAATTCAGTGTATAAATAATGGACTAACAATTAGTATGAAAAAACGTCTGTCCGTATTTGACTCAATGGTAAATTGTAATTACTGACAAGAACATTGTATCGACCATAGAACATAAGAAATGATGCCTTTAAACGAAACTGCTGATATTCTTGTTTCATCAAATTGTTTGTCGATAATTTACCTCGTTTTAGAAATTATTCATACCTAGAGCATGCTCTTGCGTAACGAATCAATTGAGATCTATATACTCTGTATGCAGGTGATGAAGGTATATTGCTGCATAAGTATGGGAAGTTGACGATAGAAAAGTTAAAGTCATCATGTTTATCATATAGCTTGGTTGTTATATTGAGATACTTTATTATCTTTATTTTCGCGTAATTACGCGAGACAGTGTGCTCGCGAAAATTAAATTCTCGCGTATAAAAGTATTCCTTAAGATTATATAGAAGAATAACCACAATTCGTGAAAATTTTGTCTCGCTAATCAAGAGTCAGTGACTATCTCGCGAAAATAAGGTGTCGCGAAAATTTAGTGATCTACAGTATGTTAACGTCTTAAGCTTTCTTCAAGTAAAATATCCAAGTATGAAACAGATATGTCAGAGTCTGTGGTATCTTTTATCTCAAGCTCACCAGGATATATCGTATCGACGTACGAATAGAAATGACCATTGTTAATTGACAATACATCGTCGATATATCTGAATGTCGAGTTGAAGTCCACAGCAAGTGTTTTCTTCTTTTCACGCATAAGATTTTGCATAAATTCTGCTTCATATGAATATAATAATAATAACCGAGCGCAATTGGTACCCATGGGAATTCCAAAAGATTGTTGGAAGTTCTGGTCTCTAAAAACCACATAGATATTGTCAATCAGAAATTCAAGCATCTTTATTATATCAACTTCAGAGTACTCATGTGTGCAATCAGAATATGTTTTAACAAATTAAAATAATTTTTCAAATGACCAGGTAATTAAATTTATGAGTCAAATTTTTATTGAAAAGCAGCTGTCAATGATATCTAAAAGTCTGGACTGATTGTGTATAAAGTGAAAAGTCGTAAGTTTTCAAGCTGTTGATTTTGGTAGAATATCATTGTCAGTGATGGTGAAAAAGGCCTGGATGAACATTTGGTGTGTTACTGGAAACCATAATGTATCTTTGTTTGTAAAAATTCTTATGAAGTTTTGTTGATCCATATCTCATATCTTGTAAATGCCTTTATTCTTTAAGACTGCTCAAATTTATTCTCAAAAGAGCTTTTATATCTATATGCCATATATCTAAGTTTTGTCCATGAAAATTCATGTAATTTTTTCGATGATGAAATACTGTAGATCACTTTTTTTTGTGACAACTTATTTTCGCAATTCAATCACTGATTCTTTAAACACAAAGACAAATTTCACGAATTGTAGCTTTTGCTCTATATATATAATCCTAAGGAATACTTTTATACGCCAGAATATTATTTTGCCAGCACACTATCTTGCGTAATCACGCGAAAATAATGTCCTCGCTAATGATGAGTTATTTACAGTAATCCTTTGGAGTTTATTCAGGATACTTTCAGTACTTGAATTTATTGTTTATTTATAGATTTTTAATGGGGGCTTCCTGTGGAGGAGGTCACATGAAAACAGCCGACAAAGTTTACGAGGAGAAAGGACTGCGACCTCGTCACGCCTACTCCATTCTGGATGTCAAGGACATTGATGGAAATAGGTACAGTCAACAAAATGTAGTTTTAGTGTTTATGAAGTAGGAAAGAAGGATGAAAATTAAGTTTTAAAGAATGTAACTACTAAAAATAAGTTTACTCTTGGCCATCATTTACTTGTACACTTTTGATGATAACAAATTTTTACCTATATCTTTAAAGTAAACGTATGGTTTGCAAAAATATTTTCAAATTTCAAAGGTTGAATGGTCTGATAAATATTCCACCGGGTATTTTTATCTGATAATAGTTCGTTATGTAGAAAACACTTTGTAATTATGGATAAATTAAAGCTACTGGGGGCCGCCATTTTGAAAGATAAAGTTACCGTTCTTTACTATATTTCCCACAATTCCATTTGTTTATGACGTATGACAGGCAATTCCGCCTCTGAAGCTCAAAGTGACAGAAAACTGGTCATGTCTGAATGCAAAGGTTATCAATATGAGCCGGAGTTTAATGAAGAAGAATTATTGGCAGCTTCAGCTGAAAGCTCTGATGATTTGGGAGTAAATGAAATAAATGAAGGAGGTGATAATACCAATTGGTGCACGTGTGGACATTGTGACATTCTTCCAAGTCAAAGAGAATGTGTATGCTGTAAGGAATTTGAGCATTATGCTGAAAATTATATTTCATCGCTATGTCCATGTATTTCACAGCATAGTGACTGTGACATGGTGTGTCTAAATAGAGTAGTTATTGAAACAGCATATGTTGCATTTTTACGATATAAAAGGAAAAGTGGACAGGCTCCCCAAGTTCTGACAAACAGGTGAGTAGTTGTAAATAAATTATGGAAGTCATTTTAAAAAGAAATATTTATTTCTTTGTAGTAAAAAATTCAGTGAAATACAATAAGAAATTTAAAAATAAGTATCACATATCTGAGAATATACATTAATTACTAAACAATTAAATATGAGTTTTATCACCTGAAATTAAATTGCATAAAAGTTAATGCAGGGATCAATATCCAGTCAATAGATACTGATTTTTCTTTTTTATTGTAGGCAATCAAGGCTCATGGCATATAGGCAATTTATTTGTTTTGTGAGGAGGGGACAGCCATTAGGGAAAAAGAATCGAGTGGTGTTACCTGCTTGTGTTGTGATTAAAATCAGAAAAGCATTCCCAGATGATGAGTATGAGGGTTTCCACAGCGAGTCATCAAGTTCGGATTCAGACTAAATAAAACTTTATCACCTTGACATTTATGTTCTTTTTCATTCTTCACTGAGAACTAGTGTAACACGGGCGGCCAATTAATTTAATTTGTAGCGAGAAAAATGAGATTCTATCAAATCCGACTTATCAGGAGCTGGAATTTTTGCGATGTTCTTTGGTAAATCCTTGGCCTTTCTTTGATGGGGTGTTGTGAATATATTTTCAGATATTTTATTTTCCAAAGTAATTTCAAGCAATTCCTTTCGAAAGGAATAATTTTTTTCCTCATATCGACTCTTCACAGTCCACCTTCCTGTAGCTTTAGAACACTGAGGGGCAAATACTTCCTGGCCATATTTGTCAATTTTTACACCCCTATTCAAATTAAAGTTATGATCAAGAACAGCCAATTGGGTTCTTGCAACCATTTGGGGGTACTGAAATTCTTGTCGTTTTGGAACATATTTCAGCATCATAGAATGGTACACCTCAATTTCTCCTGTGTGACAAAAATGGTTGAGTTGTTTTAAATCCTTTTGTATTCGTTTGTCCATTATAATTTTTTCCAGTGCTTTATATGCCTTGTTTTTCTTCTGAAGCCATTTTTTCCTTCGAGACTGCTCTAAAGAAAGCGGAGGATGACCACATTCAGTGTATTTTTCCCCATTGAAGGAGTGGACATTCTGAATATGGTATAAAATTGATGTCCACATCTCAATCAGTAGCTCTGGATCTCCTCTACATTCTGCAGCACAGTACCAAACATGATTTATTATGCTCCTTACCCATGGCATCAAATCTTCATTTTCTTTTTTCTTTGCTATAGCCACCAATTTTTTACGAATGCTATTTGCCATATGCCAGACATCAAATTAATGGGAAACGTGCGGCAATTGATCCTTTACATATTTTCTTATTTGTACATGCCTGTCACTGCAGAAAATTTTGATATTGATGTTATTATCACTAAGAGAATTGAAAGAGCGTTTGAATCCCTCAAGCTCCATACGGGATGATGAACCAGATTCTGTAACCTGAATGACCTTGAAATCTAGTATTGCAGAGCTTACAGCTTCCATAATAGTGTATGTGCAGTATTTTGCACAAAACCCAGGACTATCACATCGTCCATCTCCAATAACTGTCAATGGTTTGTTTTTAAGACGTTCGTGTAAAACAGTTCTTTGCTCATTGTAAAAAGTATCTATTGCAGGCAGAACAAATTTGTTTCCAATATCATAAAATACAGATTTGGAAATGAAATTTAATCCTAGTGTACTTGCAAAGCTTGATAAAGAAGAGAATGTATTTGTATTTCCTGAGGCATATATGTTGCTGCTGTCAAAAGGATATTACCTACAGGTTGCTTTCCAATATATGATTGAGATTTTCAGGAAAAGGAGTGATTATTTAAACATGTAAAACTGACCTTCAGTGCACTTCCATCGACGGTTTTCCTTACATCATCAAAATCAAATGGTGAATGACAGATCTGACATACAATCATTTTGAAAAGAACATCCAGACAGCTTGAAAAAACCATAAACTTTGATTCATTGACTGTATCCTTTGGTAAATTATTTTCTGCACCCATGGGAATAGAAAAACTTGCACTTGGTGATGAAACTGGTGATTCAAATGAATTTTCAGAAAAATGAAAAGAATCATCTATCTCATGTACTGGGGACACATTCTCTAGTGAATCATGAAAGGAATCTGAGACAAGGTTTTTCATGGGAGTGGATGTAAGAGGTGGGTCCGGTTCACTTGGCACTTTGGAATAAACATGATCTGATATTGAAATCATCGGATTGCTCCTTAGGATGCATGTTGGACAATGACTGGGCATTTCTATTTGTATATTGCATGAAGTTGATTTATCTTCTGATTGGATAGGAATAGTTGAAGTTTCCTTATTTTTCATTTCTTCATTGAGCTAAATATAAAGAAAATTGATTATTGATTCATCATGTTCATATTGTACTAAATTTACAAATTCCATGAAGGGATATGTATTACACTCAGTATTCACCTTTATCTTTTTTGAAGATTTCACTTTTCCTGCTGATCTTCTCTTTCTTTGATTTATTGGTACATCTGTGAAGAAAGAATGTTGCAATGTGAAACTTTATACAGAACAAATCAGTTGATGTAGCACTACACTCCTGTAATTGCCGCGTAAATGTCAAGCCTTGAAAGATTAACTGCACAGAGGGAATTAAAACGACCTTGATTGTAAAACTTTACCAGATAATATTAGAGAAGGTATCAAATAACCTGTTTTATTCGCTGTTGATGGACCAGGTTGGTCATCAGGCTTTGCACTTGTGTCTTTATTCGTTTTCACAAGACTTCTGATTAGCTGTAAAATGAAAAGAAATTGTAATGAATTTTAATTATAAATCTACTCACGGTCGATTTTATACATGCACGTGTATATTTATTTTAGCATGAAGTTTGCTGTTATATTTATTTGTACAAGTATGAGGATAATGTAAATACCCTATATAATTACCTCTTGTTTGTCCCTTTTCTCAGATCTTTTTAAGCTTGTTTTTCTTATTTTCTCGGGCTTGCTGTCATCAAACACTGTAGGTACTGCATCCTCTTTTAATTGCTTTCTCTTTGGTGTGTATCCCATTATCTTAGCCTTTAACAATTATAGTAATTTCACTCAAAAAAAATTAAGCGGTGTTTCCTTTTTATTCTTAGCATGCAGTGAATACAATATTCAAAGGGGGGTTATTTTTTTTTAATAATGATAATGCATGGGTATAATATATTTCAGATTTGTATAGAAATCCTTGTTAATTATACAGATCAAAGTATCATATCTAAAACCTCAAACAACTAAAAAAAATATGTACTTACCATCATATCCTCTTTGAAACAATCTTCTTTAAAATGCCGTTCACATACAATTTTATCATTTGAATAAACAAAAGTTTTTGGATTTAATTTTGCATTCCCAAGGTTATGAATCCATTTTGCACAAAGTTCATAATTCTTTTTTGGGTCAGGAATGCTAAAGGTAGATATTCCTTTTCCTCTGACCACAGTGCAAAATTTTGCTTGGCACTCCGGCATTTTTGGTAATTGGAATGTGAAACACTGCGACTCTGTAACCCATTTAGTGCGACAGGCACAGCAGCTGTGATATGAATAGACGTTAGTACGTCATCAGCCGCCATGATGAGGGATTCTCTCAGTCAGCTTAATTTTCAGTGTAAAAGACCGATTATTTCTTGTTATCAGCAGTAATTCATTTTAATTTGTGAAGTTATGTTATCTACATGGAACCAGGTTTCATATGTTAAAATTAAATTTTTGACCATACGTTTCCTTTAAGTCGGCCAGATGAAAACTTATTTTTATATTTTTGTAGTCTTCTTTCTTTCAGCAGGGGATGCTTACTTTCTTGTAATCAGTATGTTTTCTGATCTTGTACAGGTTGTTAAGGTTACGTAATCCTTGGGGGCGGTTTTCTTGGAATGGGGATTGGAGTGACAACTCGACTAAGTGGGCCAACATTAGCAGCCGGGCCAAACAGGACCTGATGTTGTACGGGCACACATCAGGCGTGTTCTGGATATCACTGGAAGATGTTCTCAAGTACAATACAAAACTTTTCTCATTTCTTATCTTAGCTTTTTTCGTGTTTGAGTGTATGATGTTTTCTTTAGTAAATAATTATTTAATTATAAGTATCTTTATGCAATTACATGTGGAATACAAGCCCCCTTCTTCTCAAGAACCACTGTGCCAGGAAAGATGAAGCTTATGGGGAAACATCCTCAGGTAGTGTAGATTCAAGTTTGTTCAAATCATGACCCCCGGGGGTAGGGCGGGGCCAAAACGACCGACCAAAGTTTTACATAGAAATATACCGTATAAGTGGAAATTTTAGGAAAATTCTTTAAAAATCTTCTCCTCAAGAATAACAAAGCCATAATTGATCATATTTATATGGAAGCATCCTCAGGTAGTGTAGATTCAAGTTTGTTCAAATCATGACCCCCAGGGGTAGGACGGGGCCAAAATGCCCGACCAAAGTTTTATATAGAAATGTATGGGAAAATTCTTTAAAATCAGCAAAGCCATGATTGGTCATGGGACTACTTTTGGATTTAAGCTTTTCAAGTATAAACCAATTGTGCTTTTTCCTAGCCACAGTGCTCAGGTGAGCGATGTGGCCCATGGGCCTCTTGTTTCCTTCATATAACCGTTTTTCCAGCTTTAAATTCAAAAGGTAGATAAAAAGAATTATTGAAGAGCACTGCTTGTATTTTTTATTTTGTTTACATTACATTTATTTTAAAACAATGTACAGTTATACAAATGAATAGCAACCAATGAAAACATGTGATACTTGTTTTGTTTAGATACTTTGACAGTGTGGACATATGTAAGGTGCGTCCTGATTGGAGGGAGACTCGAGTGGAGGGGACATTCCCAGTTAATGCCAGAGAGGTTTTCAAAATGGTCAAGTTGACTGTGCTCTACACCACAGAGGTGGAGGTGGGCGTATTTCATGAGGGGTTCAGGTTCGTTACTCTTTACAGCAGAGATGGGGTCATGGAGTGATATGAGATATGAGTTTTAGAAAACTGCAAGACTTGTAAGCTTTGAAAGACCTTTAAACGAAATAGAAAAAACAGAGTTATGGACAGTATTCTTTCATTTCTTTAGTATTTTTTCTTTGAAAGAAAGAGCAGAGTTTATATTATGTTTATTTATCAATACAATTCAGAGTCCTGAAAAAAATGAAGGGAATATTCTAAAAAATCTTCATCTGTAACTTGTGTAAGAAGCTGAGGAAATGTAATAGTAAGACTGAACATTACACTTATTTACTTTGATAGGAGCAAAGATAACAAAAACGCAGCTGACCTTTGTGTACTGATTTTCCGGGAATCACCTAATGGGGACCAGGCGTTCGGCCCCCTGGTGGCGTGCAGTAATCGTAAGTTTCAGAGTTTTGTTGGGTGTAACACAATGCTAGAACCTGGGGAATATTTGGTTCTACCTCTGGCATTCAATTTCTGGAATTAATGTAAGTTCGCAAAAGTAATGATGATTTATCACATGTCCTGTAGATTTAGGCTACCAAGCCCAAATAGCAATATAGCTATATTTTTGCTGTCTCATGAAGTACATGTTCTGTATTTCTAGCCACCAAGTCCACATAATGATACAATCATGTGCTGTCTGTCTCATTATAAGAAGATGTCCTGTATTTTAGCTAGGAAGCTAACAGAATGATAGAGCTACTTAGTGTTTGTTTTATTATAAGAACATGTTTCGTACTTTTAGTTACGAAGCCCAAAGAGAGATACAGTCTTGCGCTTTCTGTCTCATTTTAAGTACATGTCCTGTATTTTTAGCTACCAAGCCCACAGAGTGATACAGCTACGTGCTGTCTGTCTTATTATAAGATTGTGTCCTGTATTTTAGCTACCAAGGCCACAGAGTGATACAGCTACGTGCTGTCTGTATTATTATAAGTACATGTCCTGTATTTTTAGCTATCAAGCCCTCAGAGCGATACAGCTACGTGCTGTCTGTCCACAGTTCTAAGGCAGTAATGGTGGGGGAGATAGAGACCAGGACTCAGAAATACGAGTACACCCTCGCTGATGCTGTTATACAGCTCGCTATGGCCAAGGGAAAACAAGACGGGGTAGGTAATATGTGTGAAGGTCATTAGTGAGCATACATTGTGCTGATGTATGCATAATCATACAAGATTAAAATAAATGATTGAAAAAATGATTTCAAGCTTGTATATTTTTGAAAAGTTTTTTTATCTCACCTGAGCCGAAGGGTCAAGTGATCATGAGCTTTTCTGATCAAATTGTGTTCGTTGCCTGTCGTCGTCTTCGTCGTCGTAAACTTTTTAGATTTTCATCTTCCTCTCAAGAATCACTGAGCCAATTTCAACCAACCAATCATATTTGGAGTTTTGGTAATCTAACAACCAAACTCTATGATAAACGTGATGATTTTAACTTTCCTATCCTCACTTCCCCTTACTTATTCAGCAATATACCTCCATAACCTGCATATGAAGTTTATATATATCTCAGTTGATTTGATACGCATGAGCATGCTCTACGTATGACAATTTCTTAAATGTACTGTCCTGTGTTTCAGTTTTTAGTTTTTATCTTGCCTAGTCTAATGTAGTAAATTTTCATCTTACTACCATGTTGTATTCAACGCCTTTAATACCTCTGTATTTAGCAGGACTTCGTTAAACTTTTCTTAATTATGAAGTGGCATGAAAGGGAGTAATCTTTTTTTCACAACTACAAAATCTCATTTTTTGCAAAAGAAGTCTGGTAAACAATTCTTGAGACTTCTGTATTTGTCTTCTTAAGTGTCTGAAAATGGAACACGTTTTTAACTTTGTTCTATACAGCTATAAATCTTTTAAGTAATATACATGGGTAGATTTGAATACTGTCGAGAAAAAGTTTTATATAATTATAGACAAAGCAGTGTACAATTTACAATTTTCGTTTAGTGGATTGTAGAAGTATCACATGCTTTCAATTTAGCCGGAATTTCCGATTTTTTCATTTTTTTTTATAAGGAGCGTGCACATGATTGTCACTACGGTTGACGTTGACCTTCCGCATTCAAGTGTAAATCTTTATAACAATGGTGGCTAAAATTTAGACACAGTAAGTACTAATAATTAATATAGGTTATATCTTTTTTAAAGATTATTTTACGCTTTTGTAACCATATGCACTTAGATTTGTAAAAAACAGAATATTTGTTTGAAGGTATTTGTCAATGAGCACTTTTAATATTAAATTTCTCTTATATGCATACAATTTATTTTTAAAGTATATATATATATATATATATATATATATATATATATATATATATATATATATATATATATATATATATATATGGGAGGCCATTCCTATTAAAAAAAGTATGTTTTATGTTACCGTTCATTCAGATGGAAATAGTTTTGAAAACGCTGACTTGAGGGAATTGTACACATTTGTCTCATGCTATGATAACAAGCCATAGAAATGTAATAGTCTCTTTTGAGGAAAAACCAAGGAAATAATATCAATTAAAGTAGGGAAGGATTTTCTGCAAAGGAATATTTTCATACCTACCGTATTTGTGGTGCTTATTTAATTTTTAAACGGAATAGAATATCTTTATTATTGTTACCTTAAAAAGTTCTCTCTTTTCCTATATTCAAACATATTAGAGTTTCGTTTTACTCACGGCCCTGAAAAAATTGATGTACATTTTCTTATTTGAAACATCTGTATTCAATCCTTTCCAACGCCAAGCTTATATTGAAATGTGGAAATTACAAATAGTTACCAAACTCTAAACTCCAGAAGAAGATACAAACCGTGCATCTAAAACATCAGATAATGGATTGCATGATATCGAGGAGTAAGCTTTTTTTTTTTTAATTTCACCCAGTCGTGCAATACCGCCGTGTGTTCCTAATAGGAAAAATAAAATATAGATGGGTCAATATAAAAAAAGCAGCTAAATGTGTCACTTCTTTTTAAAATCATATTTCTTATTTTCTCCCAATTTTGGATTGTTGCTTTACAATCTATGACATCTGTACTTTCTATTTACTAATAGGAATTTTCACATAATTAATTTCATTAAAGTCAATGGGTGATTTTATCACACCAATCAGCCAAATTCATGCTGTCAATGGAATTTTTCTTTTCAAATAAGGATAAATACGCCAAAAATTATATGAAATTTTGTCTGAAAAATCATGTAGAATATATCTTTGAATAAAAAAATATGAGCCCCACCTTCCATTTAACTGATACAGCATTTAATATGACTGTACAAGAAAGTTGTGTCATTGGTGTTACTATTTTTGTTTTTGCTACAAAAGAGTTATCATTCCTGATAAGAAAATATAAACAGTCCTAAGTCATATTACATCACTTCTCACCAAACACAACAGAAACTGCTCCTTGATATTCATGATCAGAACATATTAATGGACTTCAGAAGTAAAAAAGTACACTAGTACAAACTTTTTTTGTCAGTGGTGTTTCCATCGTTATTTCAAAACGATTTTAGATATTCATTGAACTCTTTTACGAAAGATGTTCTTTAGGGAAACTAAAAGCAATGTTGACAAAAGTTTTACTTTATCCAGGGTAAATTAGAAATATTAGATCATTTTATGACTAATACGTCATTGGTGTTACGGTCATTGGCATTACTTTCTAAAGTTTATCACCAATGACAGGAATGGTTACACCATTGACAAAACAAGTACTTTTGGAGGCAAAATATATTCTTCTTATATTGAAAAATTATTTATTTGTATTCTACTTTGCAAACCTAATTTATGGTATTTGAAAGTAATTGATTTATTTTCCAATAAATATTTTTTTCCACGTACGGAAGTTTTAAATATCTGGTAATGCCAATGACAACTTCAGATCATATACATGTAACACCAATTACAAAACATTTTTTATGCTCAAAAATATATATTTTCTCTTCTGAAAAATTCACTGGCCATGCATGAATGTCAGAGTTTATCACCTAAGTAAAGTAAAATTAGTCAACTTGAACTTAGTTTGTATAAATCTCTCTACGAATACTTAACTTTTATGGTAACACCAATGACTGGTGAAGTAACACCGGTGACAAGAGATTTTGATTAGTACATTTTATCTTCTAGTTCTCTAATGAAGAAAGTGGGATTTAAAACATCATATCCTTCACATAGAGACCCTTTTACCCTACAAACATTATTGTTTTTCAAACCAATGATTAACAAACACTGCATATCTCTTGTCACAGGTGTTACTTCACCAGTCATTGGTGTTACCATAAAAGTTAACTATTCTGTCACTGGTGTTACCAGATTTCTTTTTGTTATAAGATCATTTTAAGTATGAAATCCCAGAAACTTTTTTTCATTTTTGTATGTTAGCCATGCAGTTTATTCTGTCTTTCACATGAAGTTTCATGTTATAGTATGTTTAAATGCTAATTGTTAAGTGTCAAGTCATTAGTATTACTAATTTTGATCATTGGTGTTACAGTTGAGTCAGTGGAGTAACCAACCTAAAACTTGTTATTTTTTACTTTTAATAAGTTTAAATGTAAGAAATAACGTTATATTACCTAATTTTACTCCTTGAAAATAGTCATAAATTATGTTATTTTGAACTGTACACACATGGCACCATATTTACAACATTTTTTAGTGTGTGTCTATTTATTTTTGTCTCATGCCAATGTCCAAATATGATTGAAAACTTAATTTTCATCACTGGACAACGATACTTTTGGACTTATCAGTAAACTTGAATAATCCTTGTACATGTTTATCATGGCTTGCATTCATAAGTTTTTAAATTGGATAATGAAGAAATGGATAATGAAGAAATAACAAAAATAGGGTGGGGTCATTAAAAAATCTTCTTCTCAAGAACCACTGGGCTAGTAAAGCTGAAACTTATGTGGAAGCATCCTGGTATAGTGTAGATTCTAAATTGTTCAAATCATGACCCCCGGGGGGAAGGGCGGGGCCACAATGGGGAATCAAAGTTTTATATAGAAATATATAGGAAAAATCTTTGAAAATCTTCTTCTCAAGAACCACTGGGCCAGAAAAGCTGAAACTTATATGGAAGCATCCTGGTATAGTGTAGATTCTAAATTGTTCAAATCATGACCCCCGGGGGAAGGGCGGGGCCACAATGGGGAATCAAAGTTTTATATAGAAATATATAGGAAAAATCTTTGAAAATCTTCTTCTCAAGAACCACTAGGCCAGAAAAGCTGAAACTTGTGTGGAAGCATCCTGGTATAGTGTAGATTCTAAATTGTTCAAATCATGACCCCCAAGGGAAGGGGGGGCCACAATGGGGTATCAAAGTTTTATATAGAAATATATAGGAAAAATCTTTGAAAATCTTCTTCTCAAGAACCACTTGGCCAGAAAAGCTGAAACTTATGTGGAAGCATCCTTGTATAGTGTAGATTCTAAATTGTTCAAATCATGACCCCCGGGGGGAAGGGCGGGGCCACAATGGGGTATCAAAGTTTTATATAGAAATATATAGGAAAAATCTTTGAAAATCTTCTTCTCAAGAACCACTGGGCCAGAAAAGCTGAAACTTATGTGGAACCATCCTGGTATAGTGTAGATTCTAATTTGTTCAAATAATGACCCCCGCGGGATGGGTTGGGCCACAATGGCCAACCAAAGTTTTACATAGAAATATATAGGAAAATTCTTTAAAAATCTTCTTCTCAAGAATGAAAAAGCCATAATTCATCATATTTACATGTATATGGAAGCATGTTCAGGTAGTGTAGATTCAAGTTTGTTCAAATCATGACCCCCGGGGGTAGGGTGGGGCCAAAATGGCCTACCAAAGTTTTAAATAGAAATATATAGGAAAATTCTTTAAAAATCATTTTCTAAAAAATAGCAAATCCATGATTGGCCATGGGACTACTTTTGGATTTAAACTTTACAATAAAAAGCCATTTTCTACTTTTTCCTACCCTTAGTGCTCAGGAGAGCGATGTGGCCCATGGGCCTCTTGTTATATTATATTGTTCTTACGTAAAGTATGAATACTGTTGCTAGTGCTCAGGGTGTATATAGAATATACAGAGATTTTTAAAAAAGTTTTACTGTATAAGTCACTACCTCTATATGAAATGAGCAATCTGAATGATTATTTCATACATTTACTTAAGTCATTTGATTGAAATTCAGATACGAAATCAAAAACAGTCGATTTCAAAATGGGGGAAGGTCTCTCTTATCTGTTTGTGGCCGCCATTGATTTAGGAACCACGTTTTCTGGTGTGGCCTTCTCCTCCAGGGATGCCTTCACTAAGGATCCGACCAACGTCTCGTTAAAGACATGGCACGGAACTATTGTCACCTACAAAACTCCTACTGTCATTCTCTTCGACCAGAACGGAGACTTTGATAGCTTTGGTTATGAAGCCGAGGATAGATACACCGATTTATTGTTGGATGGTGTGGCAGAAAATTGGAGTCTCTTCAGAAGATTTAAAATGTCGCTCTATGAGCAGCAGGTTAGTAATTGTCTTTTACTCTCTGACAAAGTCCCAAACAAAGAAGTCGGTTCACTTTAGGCATACAATGGCCCTGTAGATATACCAATTAATTGATCAACACTTGATTTTTTATTTGAAGCATTAAAATAAAATAGAGACTTAGTGCTTTCATATCCTATTTAAAAATTTCTTCTAAAAGTCCAGGTCTAAGAGAACTGGCTTTATGAAATGGCAATGTTCTTGAATTTTTAGGTAAACAGGTATAATTGAGTACTTTCAGTGAAGAAAAATAATATGAGCGCACTCTCTGATCTAAAAAATAAAACATGTTCATGAATCCTCAGAAAGAGTTCTATCATTTACTAGTTGCATATTTTAGATCAGAGGTTGTGCTCTGTATTAAATAACAAAAAGTGGCTTTAAAAATTGGCCGTTTTTGTAGATTTTTTCAGAATATGAGGAAATTGATGCATTTCGTGACGTCATAGTGCATTGAATAGCCAGAAAATGACGTCATTGTTGATAGATACGCACTCACCAAAAATCTAAGTGATATTTTATGCATTGTTAACTAAAACTATGCAGTTTCAGTTTTTCAGAAATTCACAGGGCCAAATAAGGCAAAAGTGAACCTTGCTCTTTGAAAAAGAATCTCTGTCACTTTATTGTTCAAATCTTCATATGATATATTTATATATTTTATGTTTTCGTGTAAAAGAATACATGTACATGTACTACATTTCACTCAACAGAATGATGTCAATATGATTCATGTATGTTGTAGAGTGTATTGGAGAGTTTAGAACTGGTTGCAGATAATGGCAAGAAAATGTCTGCCATGAAAGTATTTTCTGCTTCAATTAAGTATTTAACGGAGCAGCTGACCAAGGAGATTATAAAACAGGTCTCCTACACCACAAAGAAAGACATCAAGTGGGTTATTACTGTTCCCGCCATCTGGTCTCAACCGGCCAAGTCCTTCGTCAGGAAAGCTGCCATGATGGTAAAAGTTTTGTTTTGTGGTAATGCAAAGAAATTGAACCTTGGTACTCTTCAAATACAGAACATATTGCAGTTATTTCACACTCTGCTGAAATTGCTTTCTTGGATGGATTGTAAATAATTCGAAATTTTATCCGTTTTCAGGCAGGACTAGAATCGGAGATGCTTACCATAGCACTTGAGCCGGAGGCGGCAGCTATATGTCTGAAACATTTACCTTTAGAGAAAAAGAAGCTCGGAGAAGTTGGAGACAACTATAGAACCTTCTCACCTGGATCCAGTTACATCATTGTCGATGCTGGAGGTTTGTACGTGTATGAACAAAATATGTTGAACTTCACAAAAAATGCCATGATAATGTAACATTTATAAAAAGGAGGTTAGGATAATAAATACTAGTAGTTGTCGGGCTCGTAAACTTTGTTACTAAGCACTATTAGCAGAATTTAATTAATCCACAGACTTGAGAAAACATCAGAGGTAATATAAAATATCTAGGAACAGAAGGAATTCCCTATCGACATGATCGACACACTGATCCTAGGTGTCCTGTTTTAATCTTGAAATTGGAAAAATAATTTTAAAACAGTGGTATAACAATTTATTTTAAGAAATACGACCCAACTTAACCCAAGCTTGTTTAGGTTTTGCAAAGACATTCAATATAACGACCCCTCTAGTCGCTTGCCCCTGCTTAATAATAGATAAATTTCCTGTTTGTATTACAGGAGGAACGATTGACATCACAACACACGAAGTTTTGGAGGATGGGAGTGTGAAGGAATTGTTCCAGTCGTCGGGCGGTGATTGGGGAGGTACCAAGGTAAACGATCGCATCATGGAATTGTTTGAAGATGTTCTTGGTACTCAGACCATGTCTGAACTCAAACAAAATCAACAGCTAGACATCTTAGAACTTGAAAGGAACATTGAAACAGCAAAAAGAAGTTTGAGCACACATAGAAGGAAAATGACAATTACGATCCCCGCCGGAATTTTAGATCAGTATAAGAAAAATCATCATGCAGATCTTTCTTCTGTGAAAAGTGCTTCTCTGAGAGATGGAAGAACGATCGAATTTACGTTTAACAGTGGTAAATTAAGACTGGATCATGACTCGAGTTGTTCTTTCTTTGAACCATCAATAATTTCAATATGTGACCATTTGAGGGATATGTTTCAAATGAGCGCAGGACAAGGCATAGATACAATAATAATGGTTGGAGGTTTTGCAAATTGTTCTTTTCTCATCAGAAAAATTTTAACAGAATTTCCAGACAAACACGTGCTTGTCCCCGAGGAAGCTGAATGGTCAGTGTTAAAGGGGGCGGTGATATTCGGTCACGATCCCTGGCTGATTAAGCAAAGACGGAGCAGATACACATACGG